GGGCCCAGCCTTGGAAAGCAGAAGGCTTTGGGGCCTGGGAGGGAGAGAGAGAAAGAGGGAGGAAGGGAACAGGCTCGGGAGGCATGGCCGTGGCCTTCGACACCCTCCTGCGCACTGCCCTGTCTCCAGAGGGGCCACACTGGGGCCGTGCACCGTGACCGCAGCCTGCGGAGACCCCCAGGTAGAGTTAGGGTCAGGTCGGAGCTCGGTGGGGCTCCCTCTGGCACTCAGCCACTTCCCTGTCACCTCCTTGGTAGGGAATATTGGAAACGAGATGCTCAGAGTCACTGAGCAGGTGAGTGGGGACTGCAGATAGACGGAGACATCTTCCCTGCAGAGGTGGGGCGGGAGAGGCGGGGACACGTGGCTGACTGGGGAGGGTGCTTGCTCATGGCCTCCATCCCACACGCCCTACACCCGTATGCCCAACTACGCCCTTGGGCACATTCTACTAAAGGGTAAGGGTCCAGAAGAACCAAGGCCCATGAATTAAAAACTCTACCGACACTTAGGACGATGCCAGAACACCGACTCACGAGCACGCATGCAACCCTGTTCTGAGACATGGCCATGACACCGATTCATCTCACACGAAGTGCACTGTGTGTGAACACGTTAAACAACGTGCACGCGCGTCTGTGAGAAGGGGCCACAGGCCGCACGGTGCCGTTCGCCTGCTCTCCCCGCCAGCCCCCGCCCCGCTCAGCCCCTGCCCCATTCCCCACTCCCACCGCCAGCTCAGCTCCTCAGCCCGTCTTCTTCTGGGTGTCCCCCAGATCTTTTTAAGTGAGGCTGGACCGTCCGAAGTCCCCCCGGTATGAGCGCTTGGGCAGCTCAAGGATGAGGACAGACAGGTGTCAGAAATGAGGGCTAAGGGGTGGAGCTACGACCAGCACCTGGGGTGAGGAAATGGACTAAGGTCACATTTGGGGGAAAAGTATAGGACGATTCTGCAGCATTTCAGACACTTGACCTGCGAGCCACAGGGAACGTAGAACCACAGGTGACTCACAGTCCTCTGGGGTCACAGGTTGGAGCTGGAAAGGACCGCGGAGGTTTCCAGAGCCGGTCCCATCCAGGTGGCCCCAGATCCGGCACTGGAGCCCCGCTCCTGGGGCTGTCAGCCTGACATCAGCAGAACAGCATGCTGCCCGAGCCCCGGGCAGTGCGGTGACATGCGCACGTGCACTCCCTGCTGATCTGTCACCCGCTCCTGAGCTGGCTTTACGAGCTGACGCACGGGGCTTGTGAACCCAGTGACTGGAACAAACTCCAAACTGAGTGATTGGTGGCTTCACCCTCGCTGCCCGGTGCCAGCTCTGCCACCATGGCCCCTCGGCCTGCCTCGCCAGTGCTGCCTGTGACAACGGAGCTAAGGAGACACCTCCGCGGGGGCAGGGATGGGGCGACAGAGACCGCTGGACTAGAAAACAAAGGGGCCGACATGGGAGAAAGAAGGGAAAGAAACCCCGCTCCCCAGAGACCCGCGGAAGCCATGGACACGGACGTGTCCTTCCCACATCACGCCCCACCCCCCACACACACACATACACAGCACACAGCACAACCACACACAGATGTGCACACAGCACACAGCACAACCACACACACGCACATCAGACAGCACAACCACACACACGCACACACACATGCAGCACACAGCACAACCACACACACACACACCACACACATCACAGAGCACAACCACACACACACACATCACACAGTACATAGCACAACCACACACACGCACACACACAGCACACAGCACAACCACACACACGCACACACACAGCACATAGCACAACCACACACACGCACGCACACGGCACACAGCACAACCACACACACGCACACACACAGCACACAGCACAACCACACACACGCATGCACATCACACAGCACAACCACACACACACACACCACACAGCACAACCACACACACGCACATCACACAGCACAACCACACACACACACACAGCACACGCACAGCACACACACACACAGCACAACCACACACACACACACACACAGCACACAGCACAGCCACACACACAGAGCACACAGCACAACCACACACACACACACACAGTACAACCACACACACGCACACACACATGCAGCACACAGCACAACCACACACACACACACACAGTACAACCACACACACGCACACACACATGCAGCACACAGCACAACCACACACACACACACACAGTACAACCACACACACGCACACACACATGCAGCACACAGCACAACCAACAGCACAGCCACACACACGCATGCACACACGTAACCTGACACACGCCTCCCACATCACACACCGCAGCCACACAGCATACGTCACACCCCATACACACACACACACAGCACACAGCACAACCACACACACGCATGCACATCACACAGCACAACCACACACACACACATCACACAGCACAACCACACACATGCACACACACAGCACAACCACACACACGCACGCACACAGCACACAGCACAACCACACACACACATGCACACATCACACAGCACAACCACACACACGCACATACACAGCACAACCACACACACGCACATACACAGCACAACCACACACACGCATGCATACACGTAACCTAACACACGCCTCCCACATCACACACCGTAGCCACACAACATATGTCACACCCCATACACACACACACACACATCTCACATCACACACCGCACACACACACAGGATGCATCACACTCCACACACACATGCATGCACACACACACTGTACACACACCCCAGAGCACATACCGCAACCACATACGCATGCGCAAACACCCATATCCCACAACCACACACACGTGTACACAGCCCCACACTAGCACGGAGACCTTGACCAGGGAGCAGATACAATTGTAGAGAGGCAGAGACGGCAGGGGGAGGACAGAGAGAAACATAGAAAGGCACAGAACAAACGAACAGGGGGACGAAACCAGAAAAAAATATATACATATATAGATATATGTATACAGTCTCTTGCCCTAAATCACACGAAAGACACCGTGCGTGAACTTGTTAAACATAGTGCACACGTGTGTGTGAGAAGGTGCCACAGTGCTTCTCAGTGGAGAGCGATTTTTGGCCCTTCAGGGGCCATCAGGCAATGTCTAAAGACGTCCTTCATTGTCGTGACTGAGCCAAGGCAGAGGCTCCTGTTACCCAGTGAGGGGCAGCTAGACACCCTACGATGCACAGGGACAGCCCGCACACTAAAGAATTCTTCGTTCCAAGATGTCGATAGTGCCCAAGTTGAGAAACTGTGCCCCAAACACAGAAATCAGCACGAGGCGGCTCCTAAGCCCCCAGTCCGGCCTGCACCCCAGTCCTGCACATGCTGACACACACACCCCCATGTCATCTCTCCAGCCCCCTTCAGCCCCTGCTGGTGTGACCGTCAGAGGAGGCCAGTCACGATCTGGTGGACTTGCCACCCCGGCCCCTCCACTAAATCCTGAGGACCTAGCTTTTGCCCAGAGTCCGAGCTCGGCCTGAGGCACGGAGGACTGGTTAGAAGCCTCCGTGCATTCTGCACCTCCTCCAGACCCAGTCCACGCGGCCCCTCCGGTCCTTCCTCTCTCATGGGCCCCGACCTCTTCAGTCCCCCAAAACTAGGTCAGAGGCTGACGGCCATGCGGTCGGGTTACACTTCAGGCACCCCAAGTCCATCTGTCTTTAGAGACGGATCCATTGAGAGGGAAAAGGACTTGCCCACAATCATAAAAGCCTTCTTAAATTTGGAGTCTGGGCGAGGGGTCTCGGAGAAGGTGTGACGGTGCATCGCCTCAGATGGGGCCAGCAACTGTGACCCTCTTCCCCTGAGGCCCGACCTCGCTTTCACGCCCCTCCTCCCCTCCCGTATTTGGACACTTGAGTCTGGGACTCTGGGTGGCAGAACCAACCGAGTCCTTCTTTGCTGGGAGGTGACACCCAGCACGGCCTCGGAGTGGGCCAGCAAGTCATGCCATGCTCTTCAAGAGGGGAAAGGCCCCTTGTCCCCTCAGAGACAGCAGTCCTGGGGAGGTATAGAGGATGTGGCTTTAAGACACGAGAGGACCCATGTAGGTAGTGTCGCCCACCCCGTGGCCCACCTTCCCCCACTGTCCAAGCACATGATTTTGGGACCAAGAGCTAAGAGGGCCCTGTTGGCAGAAGCTCGTATCCAGCAAACTGCCCCTTCCCCTCCCTGCCGTCCAGTTTCCCATCGGTCCCGGTGATTCATAAAAGGGCAGCGCCAAGTGGAAGAAGCTGGGGAAGGAGAAGAAAGCCTGGAATGATGGAGTCCTCCTGTGGCTTCCCTCCCCGACCTACGAACTCCTCAGCACCCTGTCCTCTCCCCCTCCAGGGACTGAACTGGGGTCTTTGGCGGGAGCCCAGAAGGACAGAGAAGGTGTGTGGGTCGGCAGGCAGACAAACGCTGGCTTAATGAGACCAAAGTCCTGGGTTCAAGCTTTGGGTTCCAGCACCTTGCCCCCACCCAGCCTGAAGCCACTGACTCCTGTGCAGGTAAGGGAGGCAGCATCCGCTCAGGGTGCTATGGCCTGGCCTCGGGCCCAGCAGTAGGCACAGGCACCCTGCTTTCCATTCAGATTTGAGAGCGGCCCTCCTATACCCCGCCCACAGAGACACCGCACCCCTGCACCTAAGCTGCTTCTCTCCCCTGCAACACATACTCACGCACACACACACACACTCACGCACACTCACGCACACACACACACACCACACACATCACACAGCACAGCCACACACATGCACACACACAGCACACAGCGCAGCCACACACACGCACACACACGCACGCACACGCACACGCACGCACACACGCACGCACACATGCATGCACACACACACACACGCACACGCACACACTCCTCCCTGAGCCCTCTAGCCCTCTGAATCAGGGACAGGTAGGAAACAAACAGACTGATGGCAGTAGGTAACCCACACATGCCTGGGACTCTCAGCGCACAGACAGACACTCAGGCCCCAGGCCATCGGGTCCCTGGCTCGCCCTGGGACTTCACACAAGCCAGGGCCTCTGTCTCTTCCCAATGGAAAGGCTGACCTCACTGATCTTCACAACGGCCGCCGTCCTTCGCTGTGACCACGCGGGTCCCTTCGCCTCCGTGGAATGAGGCAGTGAGGCAGGGCGCAGAGACGGTGAGCTTTGCAGTCAGTCTCAGTCAGGCCTCTGCGACTAAATGGCTATGTGACCCTGGGTGACTTACTTTGCCACTGTGAGCTTCGTTTTTTTCCCCCTATCGGTGCATAACGCCTATGCAGGTAATAATAATACCTGCCTCACAGGGATGACGTGAGCTTACCTGTGAAAACTTAGTTAAGGGCGCAGTGGGTAGTAGCGAGAGGGTGAATAAATACTACCTCCACTTAGCATATCTCTACTAAAAAAGTTCCTCGGTATCTGAATTTCAAATTGAACTGGGCATCCTGTTTTTTTATTCGGTAACCAATTACAAAGACGCAGTGTTGGGAGGGGTCTCTCGAGGTCCAGAGTAGGGGGCTCCAAGCTGTCCAGAGGCCAAATCCTGCCCGCAGCCCCATTGTGTGCCCTAGCCTGTGAGCTAAGGATGAACGTCACATCTTTAAAGGGCTGCGGAAAAGCAGCAGCAGAAGAATGTGTGTCGGAGACTGTACGCGCCCGGGCTCACGAAGCCTAAGATGTTTGTTTACCTTCACTCTCGGCCCTTCATGGAAAACGTTTGCTGACCTGCAGTTGCGAGGGGACCAACCGTTTCTACTGTTTGTGTAACGATTCTGGGCCAGGCGAGAGGTTCACCGGGAAAAGTCGAGAACAGCTCATTCCGGGGTGGGGGGTACAGCAAAGGGTTGGGAGGGGAGGCTGACAGGAGAGGAAAAGGGGGCTCACTTGCTTGCCCAGTGGAGGAGCCCTGATCCCCAGACGCTCCGTGACTCCTCCCTCTTCATCACTGCCTAGAGTCTCTCAGCCTAGTCTGACCTGTCCGGGCCTTTCTATAAAAGGTCACAACCAGGTCTCCTGAAGTCCAAGGGAGGTGTCCCCAGTCTCTTTGAAGGCCTCCCTTCCCCTGACTGGCCGGGGGGCAGGGAGAGAGACTGAGGTGGAGGAGGTTAGGCTGGCCCCTGCGGGCAGGTGTGCTGGCCTGTCTCTTTAAATCTCAGGTAATTTGGGAGGTGGGAGGGAGTTTGTCTGCACAGTTCCCAGGGAGCTCCTGCAGGAGGAGCCCAGAGAGGGAGTCCCAGCTCGGCCCAGTGGAGCAAGCTCTGAGCTCTCCGCAGTCTGGGGTCTGGCCGAGGCGCCTCCCCGAGGCTCCTGGGGGGCCCAGGGAGGCAGGAGATGGGGCCTCTGCAGGGAGAGGGCAGGCCGGGCCCCGTGGAGGCCAGTGCGGCCCCAAGGCAGAGTCCAGTCGGGGTCTGGCCTCGGCTGCAGCCCCACAAGGAGCCTGCCCTACACGGCGTGGGGTCGCCGCTGCCTGAGAAACACGGGTTCCGTCTCTGCCTGAAAGTTCTGTAGATGGTTCCAGAGACAGGAGGCTTGGGCTCAGAGCCGAGACGAGCAGAACCTGCTGCAGCAGAAGCGGTAAGCCTCACTCTGCTGCCTTCGCCCCCAGGTGTGTCCCTCACCCCCTCCTCCCCCTCATCCACCCCACTTCCCCCGTCCTTCCCTGTCCATCTTGTCTGGACACTGTCTTCAGGCCTGGCTCCGTGGGAGCATTTTGTCTCAAGGGTCGTGGCCCGTGCGGCCCCAGGATGCCAGGTGGAAGAAAGGGGGAGAGCATGGACATAGGGTTCGCTGTCTTTAAGATCCGATTCAGTTATGCCAGCTTCTTGTGAGCGCAGTTGACCCTTGAACAGTGCAGGGGGTAGGGGCTCCCGGGATGTGCCGGCGAAAATCCGCGTGTAACTGAAGTCGGCCTCCGCGAACGCGGATTCTCACCGGCCAGTCCACCAGCGAACAGCACGGGGTTCCGTGAGGGTCGATGGGACTGCCGTCAGTTGAACTGAGTAGGTCTGTTGAAAAATGTCCACTTATGAGTGGACCCACGCAGTTCAAACGCACTCGTTTAAGGGTCGACTGCACTGCCTTAAAGGCCAGACACCGTGCTGGACCTCGGGGGGATGGTGGCATCATCGAACCTCCACCAGAGGGGTGAGGGTGGATCGGAACAGTGCCCCGGAAACATATAGCACATATATGTACACACGTGGGAATGACTGAATGAATGGATGGATGGAGCAGAGAGGATCTGCATTAACCCTGAAGGAAGACAACATGTGATCACAGTGATCATTTCCATGTGTTTATCACATCAGCCATTGACCACGGCCCTGCTACGTGCCAGTCCCTGGGGATGGGAGGGTCTGAATGTGAGCGAAGCTGAGACTCAGCCTGGAATTTATTACTCTCTGTTGGGGGCGAGGGGCATGGACACCTGGCCAAAATATGCTGAGGACCCATGCTCACTCACTCCCGCATCCAGGTTGAAGAATTTGAGAAGCGTGTGGTTGAGCCCTAAAGAAATCTCACTTGTTGCTTCCAGCCCCTAAAAACTTTCCAAAACTCATTCGATGCTCTCCCCGCTCCCTCCCAGCCCCACACCCCGCCCCGCACCCCCTTGGCAGCTTAGATTTGGGAGCGGGAGAGCAGGGGAGATGGAGGCAGTTGGGGCCGGCTCTGTGTGTGGTCTCCTCTCCGAAGTGTCCGTGTACGCCCCACCCAGGCGGTGGCACGCCTGGAGGAGGTCCTCCAGCTGGGGTTTTCCCTGGGCCCCTAAGAAGCGGGTCTATTCACAGGGGAAAACAGGAAGACTTTGTGTCCGAGGGTCCTTCTCCATCTGCAGACGGAGGGGCTTACCTGAGCCTGAGCAGGAGGGAGGCTAAGAGGCCACCAGGAGCCCTTGTGGTTTTTCTTCTTTTCTCAAGGATTCTGGGCCGGGGATGTGCTCCTTTCCTCCGTTCTCGCTTCCTGCCTCTCACGCCAGCCGCCCACCTCTGTCCCCCAGGCCTGGGAGCGTGGGGGCTGAGCACATGTTTGGCTGATGACATCTGGAGGCAACAGAATGGTCTTGTTGTTACAGACGGGGCCATCGCCGGTCCCACACTTCCCCTTCCCACTCGCCGGGCACCGAGAGCAGACAGGCCCGGGGGTTTGGAAGGGGCGGCGGAGGTTCCCCGAGCGCCCTAGCGAGGCGAAGACAGAGCCAGGGACCGCAGAGTGGCTTCCACCTGCCCCTTCTGCCCTAGTTCTTCTTACGACCATGCGGTGTGCCTCCTCCTGTCCCGTGGGCGAGAACGGCCTGATGTCACCACCGAGAGGGATCCCGCCGTGTCCCCTGGTTCCCTGCCTGACTGCGGAGCTCCGTGGCCCTCTCCTTCCCAAGCACCAGGAGCCTGGAGTAGTGACGGCCCTCTGGGTGGGTGCTCCCAGGAGGGCCCCCAAAATGGCCGGGAAGGGGAGTGGCCTAGGCTGTGCAGTCAACCAGCCCAAGGGGGGACACAGGCAATTAGGTAAGAGTGAGATAACCATGTACTTGAAGACAACACGGCCAGGTCAGGGGGTGAGCTGATTGGCAGAACAGCACCAGCCTTATACGCTCCCCAGCCCAGCTGCAGGAGGAAGGGCTTTGTCCCGGGAACGAGGCAGGCCCAGACAGGGCGAGCGAGTGGTGAAGTCGGGGTTTGTGCCAAGGACTCAGAGGAGGACTCTGGGTGGGCTTGGGGGGACCCCACGGGTGGCGCGTGGGCCAGTGAGAAGGGGAGACTTGGTAGCGTCTCCAGGATGATGGGGAACCCAGCGTTCCTCTCTGGCTGGTAGATTTCTCTTGGGTCTCAGTCACGCAGCCCCCTCTGTGAAAATCCACGTGGCTGCCACCCAAGCTGACCTCCCCCTCCTCCGGTCATCTCTCCTGGGCCTCGGATCATCTTCTTCCCTGATGTTCAGTGCACTGAGCATTTACCGAGCAGGAAGTGCTCTGCCAGGTTTGCCCGAGGTGAACATGATACCTTCCCCGCTCTCTAGGAGCTCACGCTCTCAGGGGTGAGCACAGCCCGGGCGCATCGACTTGGCGAGGAGGACACTGCAGTGTCTGGTTTCGGCTGGTGTGGGGCGCACCGAGCAGCTCCCAGAGGCTGTCCGTCCTGACCCTCACACCTGCCCCCCACTGCTGGCATGCCTTCCCTCCCACGCGTTGACGGGAAGGTAGTGAACACTGCACATTCTTCTTTGTTTAGATCAATACCTGTAAATATGTGTAAAATGACGTGTCTGTGCAAAGCTAGTCTCTGGACTCCCCAGGGGATGAGGACTCCCCGGCTTAGTAAACACACACGTCTGCCTACACGCATGACGGAGCTGTCCGTGGCAGGTAGGAGGACATACCCGCTCTCCCGGACGCTTCGATCCTCATCCCACTGCCAAGAACCTGGCCCAGAAGGAGGCGGCCGCGTGTGGCCAGTGTGTGCCTCCTCCCCACACATGGCTGCTCTTTCCCCCGTCCGGGGTCACCGCTCCTGGCTGACACCGCCCCCCTCCCCCGCCACCAAGAAAGACTGAAAGACCGGGAAGAGTCAGAAAACTAGAAGAACCACATAATTTAGTGGTGAGAGCCTGAGGCTAGGTTCTTGGCTAAGCTTTCTGCCTTTAGCTCTCTGCGATCTTCCGGCCGTGACTGGGCTATTCTGCCTCAGTTCCCTCTTCTGGAAAATGAGAGAATTATTCAGCCTGCGTGGCAGGGCTGCAAGGAGCGAAAGGGGTAATGAGCGAGATGCTGCTCTGGAAGCTGAGGAGCACGATGAGCGAATGAGATTATTGTGATGAAAAAAAAAAATAAAATAAACCACCATAGTAAAAGAGGAGGCGCTGGAGGGGCTGTGGGTTGTGAGCTTCCTCCCATGAGAACCACCTCGGAACGGGACTGTGAGCTACTGTGCTGTCTGTGCCCACCCTCCCTTTCCGCTTCCCTCTGAGACGGTGCTTGAGGAGACACCGGTGGGACCCACGTATGTCAACACAGTCCCCCGTGCCTCTTCTAACCCCGTTTCGAAGCCTGAGTAACACAGAGAATGGGGCCAGGAAAATGACAAATGTGGCACTAGTCCCAGCTCTGCCTCCGACTTGTTAGGGCAAGTCACCTCAGGACGTCGGGCCTCTTTCTCCATCGGTCACGTGAAGAGATGAGACCAGTTTTCTAGCCACTTCCCTGCTCTAAAATTCTGATTTGAATTCTCCTGCCGTCGCTCTTCATGCCGCCTCGTTTCCCAGCAACCAGATGCAAAACGTCACTCGCACACCCTGCACACACACGTGCGGGCACACACGCGGGCGTGTCCCCCTTCCTCGGGAGCGGAGGAGCAGAGTACGGGGTGGCCGGGACCGGGCGAAGGGAGGCTAGAGCTCCTCACTTGGAGGCCAGAGGGGACCTTGTAGGGCAGGGCAAAGATTTGCTTACTCTATAAAAACTATGCCAGGTTTTATGCCAGAGATCCAGTCAGTGGTAGGGTTCCCACCCGTCTAATACAGAACTAGGCCGTTCGATTTGATCCGTAATCGTCCTGCAAAATAAGACGCTCCAAATCCTGCAAATCGTAGCGTTGTGATTTCAGATGTGCTCTGTAGTTCTCGTTGCCGCTTAATCAGCGGGTAAGGGCTTCATCGTTTTTGTTTAATGATTTGTAAGAAAACATGTATAGTGCATTTCTCACTCTTTTTAATGCGAGGTATCCTTTTTTTTAAAAAAAAAAAAAAACTGGATTGTGAATAATTATACCTCCGAGTCAGGGTTTCTCTGCCTTGGCACTATGCACGTGTTGGGCAGGAAAATGCTTCGTTATTATGGGAGGCTGCCTGTGTGAAATGCTGAACAGCATCCTGCCCTCTACCCACCGAAGCCAGTGGCACCCCTCCCTTCTCTGCTCCCCGCCCCCCAGTTATAACGACCAAAAATGTCTCCAGACTTTGGCGAATTCCTTGGGAAGGGGGCCAGGGATCACCCCTGGTCGAGAACCACTGCTCTAAACCGCTGTTTGTAAATAGGGGATCGTGGTAGTGATGTGAAGTAGTCTAAAGTGAAATTTCCCCGCAGAAGGGAGAGTGTATAATCTATTCATTCAAACCGGAAGATACCTCTTCCGTATCTCCCCTTGCTCCTGCCCTAGGGAGGTGTCTGGCAGAGATCTGGGGAAGATGAGTAGATTTTGCTCCATATCTAAACCTCTGTGCTGGGCTGCTATGAATCAAAACTACCCGTGCCTCAGGCACAAGAATCTTGTACTGTTTTTATGAGGCCCAAAAGGGTATTAGGCTGTTTTGGGGGGGTCCCCCTTAAGGCCAAGAATGTGAGCCAGGGCTTTCTCTGCTGCCCCCTAGTGGTCCTATGATGCTATTGCAGATTCTCTTAGAGCCACCCACATGCTGCCCCTACCTCGGACTTCTGCTGGATGCTGGAGTTTGCCTGGAGTTTGCAGACCCGAGGAGGCCAGCTCTCTACCGGCCTTGCCGGGTTAGGTCTCAGCTGGTTCTTCACCCAAAGCACGGTCTGACTTAGGTTGCCGGATAAAATACAGGGCACCGAGTTAAATCTGATTTCAGATAAACAATAAGTTGTTAGAATATCACAAATATTGCATGGGACGGACTTACACTAAAAAATGATCTGTTGTGTGTCTAAAATGCAAATCTAAGTGAGCACCCCGTATTTTTATTTGGTAGACCTGGCAAGCCTGGGGCAGACAGTAGCTCCCTGACCTTCCAGGCCAACTAGGGCCATCAGCAGAGGCAAGAAAAGGAACACAAAGAGAATATTTGTGGGGGACACTTATGGGCTTCAGAGATGGATAGAGACCGACAGGGATCTATATCTTTGGGCCTGCCGCCCACTAGCCTCCCCACTCATACCCTAAGAGGTGGGGAGCTTGGGTAAGGACACCCCTGAGATCCATCTCCAGTTTTGCCATTAACCTTTTATGCATTTCGTCAAAGTGGGGCACGACACTTGAAGCTAATCGGAGGAGGGTAGGGAAGGGATAGATGAGAAAATGACTGATCTCCGCCTTCGGGTACCCCTAATATAGAGGACGAGACAGACACTAATCACAACGCACAGTGAAAGATGCTAAATGAAAAGTAAGTCCAGAGGGAGCGAGTGCAAACCTTTCTGGTGAGGGTGTGTGTGTGTGTGTGCGCGTGTGCACGTGCGTGTACGCGAATAGAGCTGGCTCTAGAATACCTATAGAGGAGGGGTTCGGACAAATTATTGGGAAGGTCGTGGTGGTGAAGGGCTGTCTAGCAAACTTGTTTTGCACCCGTGTTCGCATACCCAGCATACTGTTTTTTTACTCAGAATATACCTTTGCTTGAGGTCGGCAGGGGTGTGTGGGGGGAGGGGCCGATGAAAATAATAAGGAGAGACACTAAGGCCAAACCACCTTTTGGCAAAGCTACTAATTCGTTCATTCCACAGAGGGTGGGAATGCCCACCACGTGCTGGGCACTGATGCTAGGAACGCAGAGGCGCCAACAGGGTCTGGGGGGCGGGGGAGGCGCTTAAATTTCAGGTGGGAAGAGGTTATGGCACGGGCACAGAATGGCATGTTTTGGGGCGGCGAGGCCGAAACTCTGGGTGGGAAGAGGAGAGTGCAGAGAAGTCGTTGCACAAAGACTGGGTCTCTTCTCCTTGGGCATTTAAGGACCTATCGGACTCCCCTAAGCCGTGACTGCCTTGGCCTTTTAAAGAGTGTATCTTGGCAGCATCGGGAAGGATGGACTGGGGGTAAATAGGGTGTGGGAGAACCAGTCAGGGGAGTATTTGCTGATCTTGGGCTAGAGAATGACATGAGTTCGTGAAGGGCAGTCAGGACGAGGAGGGAGGGATCGGAGGGAGAAGCAGTGGGTGAGTCGGCAGGGCCTGGGGGCTCCTATGTGGCGAGACGGGGCTGAGGCCAGCGTTCTGGGAGATCCGAGCCTCCAGCTCATTCCTCTTCTTCGCCCTCCCACCCCCAGCACCGGAGTCGGGTTCCTGTCACTACCCGTGGTGCAGCGTGCGAGTGCCTGTCTGCGTCTTTTTTGCCACATAATTGGCCATCTCTGGATAAATAGGGTTATTTCATTCGCTCCCATAGGAAGACCCAATGGCTCTGGACCGAGAGGAAACAAATGAATGAAAGAGGTCCTATGCGCCTTAGCTGGAGTAAGCTTTGATTTAAAAAAAAAAAAGGTGTTTAAGTTCATAATAGGAATAAAACTCTAGAGAGGATTTGGGGAGTCCAAGACGATGATTTTTGCTTAAAACAAGTGAGAAAAGCGGATAGGAAGCAAGAAGAGACTATAATCTGACTTAGGGGCCAGGAAAGAGGCAAAAGGATGCTCTGTTGCTTTTGGAGTGAGCCCTGGAGATGCTGCCGTGGGAGGGAAGGGCCAGGACCAAAGGGCTTTACCGAGGGGGTCTAGTACGGAGGGCATCGCGGAGCAGGGAGAAAATGTGCCGAGTTCTGCATGTTGACTTCCTCCACAAATCAGAGGAAGGCATGCCTTGTACTCCTAGTCTTTGAAAACAAAGCTTGACGTGGAGGGTGATCTCAGGACACTCGGTGAAGCTGAATCAGGGCTGCTCTAGCAGTCGATACGTCAGGAGGTCAGTGGGCGTTTAAGCCAGACTCCTCCCCGCGTACCTGATGTGCACAGACAGGACACTCACACACATACTGGCACCCTCACCCAGGGGGTAGGACACCAGCCACTGACGTTCTCCCGCCCGGACGAAAAGGGGGAAACATGGGCGTGGTCGGGGAAAAGGAGATCAGGCAACCTTTTGCACCCCAGTGGCCTCACGTGCCTGCGCCCGAGGCCTTGGGGTTTATCGTCACGGAGGAACACGTGTTCGTATGTGATGGAGCAAAGCCATCGCCCCTCGCTCCACCACCGGGCATGCTCACGTGGCCCCCTTTCTGGCCCCATTCCCTTGTAGGATCCTGGGGTGTCCTTTCCTTCTAGCTGCCAGAGAGAACGATGTGCCGGCTCTCGGCAAGCTGCTCAAGTGCCAGGCCTGGGAGGTGCACCAGAGGGGTAAGAAAGGCACAGGACGCTCAGCACTGCTCCCCTCCCGGGTCAGCCCCGTGCACGTGGCTCCCCAAGATCGCCAGGGCCTCTGCGGGGGCCCCCCCAAACCACTGTCGCCCCTATTCCCCATCCCAGGGAAGCCCCATGCCACTTCTTTCTCCCGATGCCAGGAGCCCTGGGGGAGACGGCGCTGCACGTGGCGGCCCTCTATGACAATCTCGAAGCAGCCATGGTGCTGATGGAGGCCGCCCCCGAGCTGGTCAAGGAGCCCATGACGTCTGAGCTGTATGCGGGTGAGGGGCTGAGGGAAGGGGAGACCTGCTGAATATTTCAGTCGGGTAAATGGGGGAAGCCAGAGGGAATCGGAGCCTCCCTGTTCTTTCTTCTCCAATCCATCTCCTTTCCGCCTGGTGGTCCCCACGTGCATCATTAGAGCAGCGACCCCCTGAAACGGAGAGGCCGAGGGCGTGGGAAGAGTGGGCAGCAGCTGGATCCCCCGGGAATCCTGCCAGACCCAGGGCTCCCTGTCCCCCCCGCCCCCAGGCTGCCCTAGTATGGGACCACGAGTAGGTTTGGGGGCTCCTGCGGGATCCTAGGGACAGACCCCACGACTGAGAACCGTCCCCCAACCAGGTCAGACCGCACTGCACGTGGCCATCCTGAACCAGAACGTGAACTTGGTGCGCGCCCTGCTCTCCCACGGGGCCAGCGTCTCTGCGAGAGCTACAGGCACAGCTTTCCACCTCAGCCCCCACAATCACATCTACTTCGGTGAGAGCCAGGGCCAGGGCCAGGGCCGGGGGGCGGGGG